TCTTTTAAAAGCTAGAGGTGTCGCTTAACAATAACTGCATATTTTACATGGCCTTATTACCATATTTTTCGGAGTATAAGACATACCAGAGTATAAAACGCGCCTACCTTTTTTGTTTTTTTGTTTTTATAAAAAGTTTTTTTTTATTTTTTAGACAAACACACATACAAACATACAATGTATTCTTTGAACAGAATATTTGGCCGGTTCACAAATTTAAACAGTGTTTACTCATTTCAATTAAATTTACAATTTCTATATCTCCTTTTTGCCATATTTATTCCTCATCTATTTTTTTTAAAAAAAAACCAACATTACCCTTCATCCTCATCTCTAATCTTAATCAAATTCAATTTTTCCCTTCTATATTACACCTTCCCATTGTCATCTATTTTTATATCCATCCTCACATTGGTTAATTATGTAATATTACAATTGTTTAATACAAATTCAACATTTTAATATAAAGCAATTAGTTATATAACTATCTTTTTTGTATATTAATCAATATGAACATGAATATTCCAATTATTTCCATGCAATCCAATTTCTTACAAATCAATTAATTATATTTACCAATAATAATAAACCAAATAATTTTCCCCATATATTCCTCCAAACCACAACTTAACCATTTCTGCTTTCAACACAATATACAATTAATAGTATCTCAATTATTACAATTCCCTAGTTAAATAGAGCTTTCCCCTTATTTTACTCATTTTCACATCTTAAACACTCCCAATAACCCAAATAGTTTTGCCCATGTAATCCTCCAAATCACAACTTAATCATTTCTACTTTCATCACAAAATATAATTAAAAATATTTCAATCGTTACAATTTCCCTAATTAAATTTAAAAATATTCTAGCTGTTATCCAAGCTACAACTTAATCCTTTTTACTTTCACCACCATATACCATTAAAGGTATTTCAATTGTTACAGTTTATACTTATTCATATTTCTAAAAAAAGTAAAAAAATAAAAACTTATCATTGTCTAGATTTCAAAAATACAAAGACAAATATTCCAATTATTATTCATTTCATTTTTACAATCATGATTTCCCATTTATTTCTTACCACTATTCATATTTCAATTCTAAATATGTATAACATCTTTCTCTTTCATTTCTTTTTCGTTTTCTCTCTTCCCATTTTTATTTTTGCCTTTTTCTTTCTCCTTTTTTTCTTTTGTGTTTTAAAATCTTGAACTCTCCTGTTTTGCCCTAAATTTCCCATTGTTTGCACCTATTTTTTAGTGAGGAAAAAGAAGAAAAAGAAATCTCCCTCTGCCTCTGCCTAATTTTTCCTTGCAGCAAACAGCCTGCTTTACTTTCAGTTTCGTTTTCAGCATAGCTTGATTAGCACAAGGGGGAAAAAATCTGCTCCAGCACTCTTTGCAGCAAGCAGCAGAGCCCTGCACAAAACAGCTGAGAGCAAATCAGCTGAGCATTGGGAGGCCAATCTAATCAACTTGTGCTAATTAGCCTATGCTGAAGCTGAAAGGAGCTGTTTTTTTCTTGCTGTTTGCTTGCAAGGAGGTAACTGCTGCGAGGCACAGGCCAAAGGGTGGGGGCCAGTGGGTGGGCAGGGCTACATTCGGTGTATAAGACACACCTAAATTTTCACCCCCTTTTAGGGGTGGGAAAGTTGCGTCTTATACTCCGAAAAATACGGTAAGTTATATTTTGCTATAAAATACAGCATGGTAACCAATATACGGTCATCCTACTAAGCAATAATTGGTAATTCCAAAGGTATACAATTACAAAAGGATACTGCTGATAGCTATATCTAGACACCATGGACATCTCTAATAAGAAGAAGCATTACTTCATCAAATCTTCTAAATATTTTATAATTTCTTGTCTTTCTATAAATGGGACAAATTTTAAAAAAACTTTTAGAGCTATGGCCTTTCTGTTGGAATGCCCAAAGGTAGCAAATTAGTTTGGCAGGAATGTCAGTATAGTTGAGTAAAGGAAATGAAGATTTATATTTCATTTGTTCTGTTTTTACCCTCTGGCCCTGGTATTTCTAACCAACGAGAAAGAATTGCTGTAAATCCATACAATATAAGGAATTAGATGTCCTAGTGGTCTAAGATAGATTCATATATTCATGAATCTCCGCAAGGGATGGAGAGTAAATGATAAATACAATAATACAAGATATTGTAAATGACATGCTGAATTCGTAACATGACAAACAGGAAAATTATACAAATTTTCTTACATAACTTACAAATTCATATCAGAAATGTGTTACAGACACTAATACATTTACATTCCTATGAATGTCGTTGGGGATTCATTAAACATGCTTTGTGAATAAGGTGACCAGATTTTAATATTGGTAAAGCGGGAGACCCACCATTTTGTGGGCGTGGCTAGCTGGTCATGTGACTGGGTGGGCGTGGCTAGCTGGTCATGTGACCGGGTGGCCATGACTATGTGTATAGAAAAAAGTCATTTCTGACAGGTCCTCGCACTTTTGACTGGTCCTCACATTTATGCCCATGCAGCATTCTTAACAACCATGTCACTCATTTCACAACTGCTTCTCTTTACCATGGTGATAAGATAGGGCAAAAAACGTAAAATGTGAGGACAGTCGTAAGTTTGAGGACTGGTCAAAAGTGCGAGGACCAGTCAAAAATAACTTTTTTCAGCCCTCTGAGTAGTCCATATGCATAAAAGGATACAGCAATAGAGAGGGATGAAGGAAGGGAAGGGAAATTAGAGTAGGAGTGAGGGTAAGAGAGGGAGGAAGAGAGGAGGAGGAGAAGAAAGGAAGAGGAAGTAGGGAGGAGAAGAAGAGGTGGGGAAGAGAAAGTAAGAAGGAAAGAAAAGAGAGAGGTGGTAGGTTTGAGGAGAAAGATTGCTGTACAAAAAAAAAAGATGAAAGGGAAGAAAGCCAATCCCAAACAAATATAAAGGTATTAAGATAAAGAATGAATTGTTAAACTTTAAAGAATAAAAGAGAACAAATATGAATAAATAGCAAAAATTAGAAACACCCATACAAACATACAATGTATTTTCTTTCAACAGAGTATTTGGCCGGTTCACAAATATAAACAGTGTTTAGTCATTACAATTAAATTTACAATTTCTATATTTCCTTTTTGCCATATTTATTTCTCATCTATTTTTTTAAAAAAACCAATATTACCCTTTATCCTCATCTCTAATCTTAATCAAATTCAATTTTCCCCTTCTATTCTATATTATATCCCTTCCCATTGTCATCTATTTTTATATCCATCCTCACATTGGTTAATTATGTAATACAGTTGTTTAATACAAATTCAACATTTTAATATAAATCAATTAGTTATATAACTATCTTTTTTGTATATTAATCAATATGAACATGAATATTCCAATTATTTCCATGCAATCCAATTTCTTACAAATCAATTAATTATATTTACCAATAATAATAAACCAAATAATTTCCCCCATATATTCCTCCAAACCACAACTTAACCATTTCTGCTTTCAACACAATATACAATTAATAGTATCTCAATTATTACAATTCCCTAGTTAAATAGAGCTTTTTTTCTTTTGTGTTTTAAAATCTTGAACTCTCCTCTTTTGCCCTAAATTTTCCATTGTTTGCAGTTTTGCACCTACCTTTTTTGGTGAGGAAAAAGAAAAAGAAATCTCTCTCTGCCTCATTTTGCCACGTTGCAGCAAAGACCCTGCTTTACTTTCAGTTTCGCTTTTAAAGCATAGTTAGGGGGAAAAAATCTCCAGCACTGCAGCTAGCAACTACAGAGCCCTGAACAAAACAGCTGAGAGCAAATCAGCTGAGAGTCAGGAAGCCGATCTAATCAACTTGTGCTAATTAACCTATGCTGAAGCTTTAAGGGGCTGTTTTTTCTATTTTTGCAGGCATCGGTCTACTCATTTGTTTTCTTTTAACACTGATCAGCTGTAGGGTGGCCCTTTGAAGCCCCACGGCAAGAGTTTAAACAGTTTTTTTCCTTCTAGCCATCAGCTGGGACTCAGGAGGCAGCCGGGAGCAACCCACCACTGGGCCCTACATTCTTTCCAAAAATCGGGACTTTTTTAAAACGTCGCGGGACAAATTGTTCAAAAGCGGGACTGTCCCGCCAAAAGCGGGATGTCTGGTCACCTTATTTGTGAATGTCCTCAAATTAAGAGGCTTTACAAGTACTATATTTTTAAAGTATATTTCTGTACCATATATAAACTGCCTCTTATAGTTTCATAGTTTGCTATAATATTTAAATAACAAAGTTTTTACCTATTTTTGCAAAATATTACATAAAAACATATGAATTGCTTCATAAATTGCCCAATACTCTTTTTTCTGATGTTTACCAATTAATCAATTACCAATGGATATTTAACAACCTTTCATAAAGAATATTGCAAACAAAAATGTAATGCATACGCAGAAGAATATAATATTAAATGAATGAAAGAACTTCCAGGGAGTGACAGTGGATATTTTCATATTTAATATTCTATTTTCTTTAACAAGCTACTCTAAATTTAAAAGGAAAACAAAACCTATAATTTTTTTAATCGGAAGATTCAGTTTGTACAATGATATGTGGCTTACATATAAACTATCCTCTCTCCCTTGATATTTGATATTGAAATCTAGATTGCCTCATATTATGAAAAGTATGGTATTTAATTTATGATAGCAAGAATCAAATGACATGACTTAAAATTAGCAGCAGTTAATTTTTTTTCTATCCATAGCACATTAATTTTAAATTAGTTTAACAAAGATAGAAGAGCTTTGAGGTTTTACTAAAATAATTTACAACAAATATTATCAAAATTTACTTTGGAAAGTTAAAAGACTGTTGATGATAATCTCCAGTTTTATAGTATTATCAAGATACCAGAAAAGACAACAACTATTTAAGTAGAGAGGAAACAAAACCTTCATTTCATATATGCATAAAATTTAAATCTATTTCCCTACTTTTTTATATATATATATTAGTGGATGTGAAATCAGAAATTCCTGTTGGATTAGAACAAGTCAGACCATTAGATTTGCGAACTGATATCAGGATGATGGCACCCATGATGGATCCCTTGATGCAGGAAAAGCAGTTACAACAGGAATTAATCCTGATTCAACATCAGCAGCAGATTCAGAAACAGCTTTTGATAGCAGAATTTCAGAAACAGCATGAGAATCTGACACGACAGCACCAAGCACAGATCCAAGAGCACATAAAGGTAGTAAAAAAATTTTCTCTTCATAGTGCATCAGAAGAGGGGAGGGGTTGGTTACTGTAGAAATTGAGTAGCAGTAGAGTTATTTCTTTTGTACATCAACATGGTATGTGATGAAAGTTTATATTAGTCCCTCACTCTGCCATATCTATCTGTCTCTCACTTGAATGTAGATATACATATAAGAATAGTTATTTGCAATTACAGCAAAACAAACTATTGGAAGATTAAGTAGTCAGCAAATTTGAGAGCACTTTTGGAAGATACTGATCTGCTTAAAAAGTACTATATACTGTTATGTGTCTCTTAAAAAAACTTATAAATGGAATCAGACGACCAGTTAAAATATAAGGACTGGTTCTTTGAACAGCACTTTACAAACTTCAGCACAACTTTTAAAAAGCTTAGATTTTGAATTAAATTTTGAGATCCTATTTTTCTAAATATCAGAATTATTTAATATTATTCAGCTATCAGATTGCTTTTATCTCTATGCTTTTATGTTTGAAAATGTTTGTTATGTTTGGAATAAATGATTATTAAACAATCAGTGATCATTAAAATGAACACAATAAATGTAACTCTTTTGGTGCTAAATAATTTAATATGATGTGGCTTTAGTTTATGCATTCTAAGAAACTTGATATGTCTTATTTATTTATTTTTAATTTTATGCTTCTGTTTGGTTCTCATAATGTATCAGGATTAAGTTTGGATATGAAAACCATCCTTCGCTTATAATGTAATGAACAAATGGAATGCTGACAATATAGCAAATGAGAAAAAAAGCAGCACAAGAAGGTTTCTCAGATTAAAGGTCTTGTTTGAAAACTAACCCACCAGGAAAGCCATATCATAGATATGTATGTCTATGTTTTTAAGAGAGATTCAATTTTTAAGAGAGATTCAATCAGAAACTGGAAATCCCTTAATAAAAAAGAAAATTATGGCTGTCACCTGTCTGAATTTATTTTTTGTTAAGGCTGATACCCTTTATATAAAAATAGCATTCTAAAATCTGTTAAACAACTGACTATAAACAAGAATACTATCTAGCCATAATTTTTCTTGAAATAAGTGGAATGAGTTAGCTATTGTTAGGGAATTACAATATCTAGGTTATCACTAGATGGTAGATGGTATGAACAAATTCTAGATTACCACTAGATGGTATCAAACAAATTCAGGAAGAGTAATTCTTTGCTGCCATCTAGTAGTAATCCATTTTTTTTTTATTTGATTTATATGCAATTTATACAATTTATATTGTTTTAGTTCAGATGGAACCAGACCTTAGCTGTTGATAACTTAATTTCTTTACTTTCAGGGGAATTATTTTTATCTGGAAAAGAACTTTTATTTAATTTGTTATAAATAGTTTGATTTACATTTGTAAAGATCAAACTTTCCAAGCTTTGATCTTTACAAATGTAAAGATCAAAGATTTGAGCTTTATAGTTCAGCTTTTGGATCTAAATACAAACACGTAGACATAAATTTCATATAGAAGTAGATTAGATATATTTATTGCAAAAAGGAAAGCAGAAATTAGAATAGCATATTCAAAAACCTTGCACTTATTTCATGTGATCTTTTAATGAAAATATTTACAAATCAATGCCAAAATGGAGTAGAATAGAATTGTATTTTCTAACATTTTAAATATTATAGCACAGATTTCTCCAAATGTATGGATCAGCTTCCAGAATTGTAGCTGTAGCTATTCTAGTTTGCGAATTCTAAGAGCTACTTTTTTATATTCACACTGTTTGTGAAGCACTTATTTTGACCAAGACTACCATAAAAACTGAACATTCTCATGACTTTGTCTTTTTTACAAGTTACAAAAGGAACTCTTAGCCATTAAGCACCAACAAGAACTTCTTGAAAAAGAACAGAAACTTGAACAACAGAGGCAAGAACAGGAATTGGAGAGACATCACAGGGAGCAATGTCCACCAATCAAAAGCCGAGAAAGAAGCCGAGAAAGTAAGATCTGTTCAATCAAACTAGAAGAGGATATCTAAGTTTTGTATACCTCTCCCACCAACCTTCATTATCCCTCTTTATAAAAATATGGCCTGACAATAAAATTCTATACAGATTAAATATATAATTCTCTAAAAATATAGAATAATCTTATTTTATATTTTAAGTTTATTTTATTGTATTTCCATTATAATGTGCACATAAATAGGGAGGTATATTCTGCACAGATTAGAGAGGACATGAAATATCCCTTCTATTGTTTCAGTTCCATAATTTAGTTATTTTGGCTTTTAATAACACAGCTCTGTGTTTCTGTGGTTTTAAGGCAAATAAAGTCTAAAAGAAAGACATTACTGGAATATGATACTCACTAGGGGGAGATAGATGCATATAAGTCTGCTCAAAAGGGAATGGAAGTAAAGGCCAAATATTTCAGTATTTCAAAATGCTAATTATAGAAGGAAACAAATTATAACATCAGATGCCTTCATTTTCCTCTGGAATTTCTCACTGATATTGTATTGTGTGCCAATATTGAGGAAACATTGATAATTTTATTGTATTCTTTCTATATGCTTTCATTTTAGAGGAGAATTGTATAAATTTTAGCAGTAGCATAATATTAAGTGTTGGATTTTGAATGAAGATTCTTCTGTGCTACTTCACTTATAACTATAAAACACATATTTTAGAGTATGCCCTCTTTGTTTATACTAAGCTTATAATAACATATACTTCATACTTTCATTTGTTGTGACTATAGCAGTATTAGTTAGCCTAATGCATGCTTATTGCTCTTTAATATAAAGAATTAGACCTTGAAAATAATGATACATGAAACCATTCTTTAGTCTCTATTAGGAATTTGGTTCATAATCAGTATATTATATACAGTATTTCCATATAAAATATTACTTATGAACATTGCACAGTTCATCAGTTGCAAACTAAAATTGAAAATCATACCTTTATAGACATTACAGGAAAACTATATTAGAACATAATGTGGAGTTTTATTCTAGAGCGGTCAATCATCTTGCTATAGAGTTTAAAACAAGGGTGGGAAATATTTTTAATTTTTTTAAAAAAAATATGTTTTTAAAAATATTTTTTTAGCCCTTCAGAATGCTTCCAGTGATATCATTTAGGTGAGGAGACTAAAATTCTGCATATTTTTTACATGGTGGGAATTGAGTGTGGAAATAGAAGCAGTTTGTCTCACATATGGAAATAGGTAGTGGTAAGGCCAAATATTGTCTTCTGGCAATAGGTTGGTCCTCTGATTTAAATAATGTTCAAGAGATCTGTTATGGTTAAAAGGAAAAAGGCAATAGCAGTATAAAACAATTCCAGTTGAAAATGCTTGAAACCTTTAATGTTAGAAAATATCTGCATTCACCTCTGTTTAGATCACAAAACTAAGAGTGAACCCATATCTAGTGTTTTTTATTTGTTAGATTAATATATCTTCTTCAGGGGTGTTCAGGATGGAATATACTGTACTTCTCCCCTCAGTTTCTCCGTACAACCCTAAAACTGATTTAAAATTAGCCATTGAGGTACCACGGTTGAAATCAGATTTAATTTGGAATTCCTTATTCTTAGTCTATTTCCATTAACTATTACACCACATTGGTTTTATTTCCCTTTATTGTATTACTTGGTTTCAGTGAAGCTAAAAGATATGTTGTACAATTTTAATCTACGCTGTTTTTCTTTTCATTATTTTATTTTGTTCTGCCATAGTAATTGCTCATTGCTCGTATTAAATTTTTAGTAGATACTTATTTGGACCACAATCAAAAGTAGAAAGCTGCATTGGAATGCATGGGCATATATGAATGGAATGATAAAAATATGCTGTATGTTTTAGGAGCAGTGGCCAGTACTGAAGTGAAGCAGAAACTTCAAGAGTTCCTGCTGAGTAAATCAGCGGCAAAAGACTCACTGTCTAATGGAAAGAATCATTCCAGTAGCCGGCGCCCCAAGCTCTGGCACATGTATGTTTATTCTTTTGCATCTTAAGCTATCTTTTTAGTATCAAATAAAAAGACTATTCTTTATCAGGATAAAGTGAATTTAACCATATGCTATTCAGCATAGAAGAGAGAGGATGTACTGCATTTCCCTTACTTTTCCTTCTATGTCACTTAAACCAGCCTCTTTTTTTGAATTAAGTTCAGATAGGTCCAATGAATACATTACTTTTGATATAAAAGTCAACTACCAGTAACATTGGTTTCCTTTAACTCTCTTTTGAATTAAGATGGAATAATTATGTTCTATGTATACAGTGGCATTTTTTGTCTAAATGAAAATTTTGTATGTTTTTAAGGAAAACTTTCATGATGATGAATGATGATGTTGATCATTATGATAGTGGTAGTCAATGCACTGGAGCTCTATTATAGCATGTAATAAATTATCTGTTTACATAAAAAGTAATATGTGGGGCAAGGGCCAATCTCAAAATACCATTTATCATATTTCCCCCAAAATAAAACCAAGTTTCTTTATTAACATTTATTTTTGGTCCAAAAGACTCATTAGGGCTTATTTTCAAGGGATGTCTTATTTTTTTATCACGAGGCCCAGCCCTCCCATGCGTGCACAGGAGGAAATGAGCAGGGGGCAACAGTGGCACTCTGTGAGGCATTTCAGGTTTCGTTCGGTGGGGGAGGAAGGCTTTGGAAACTGCCTTTTTATTTACATTTATCATTAATATTGTAATCCATCCCTTTATTTTTCAAAAAAATGATTTGTATTTACCATGATTAGCCTCCTTGAATTCCAATGGGAAGGCGCAGTATGAATTCTGCACATGAGCTGCAGAAATATAGACAGTAGCACCCTCAAAGGTCACAACATTTCCTCACTCAGGCGCACTATGTTTTATGGTGCATTCAACTTCACGGCTCAGTTAAACTCTTCAGCTGCAGCAGACTGCAGTTCCCATCATCTTCAGAAAGCCTGGGTGATGGAATCCTTAGGCCAGGCTCCTCATAGCTGAAGCAATCCGACTACCCATTGAGTGGGCAGGCTCTTAACTAGGGCTTATTTTTGGAGTAGTGCTTATATTAGGTGCATGCTAAAATCATTGTAGGGCTTATTTTCTGGGTGGGTGTTATTTTCAGGGAAACACAGTAGTGAAAAGCTGCCACTCCTTTTAGAGACTCTTATTCCTGTTTGATAAAATTTAAAAGGTTTATAGATGTCTTCCCTTTTCATGCAACCTTTGATTTAAAAAAGTCAAAACAATAAAATTAAAATCAGTTAATAGGAACTTCCTTTTTTCCAGAGGACATATCTCCAGACCTAAATTATTGGTAGAGTACAAGTGTTAGGTCTCTGGACATTTTGATGATATGATGCAGCAAAATCATTTCTAATTTGTAGATTCATAATACTAATCAATTATAACTACTTTTCTCTAGGGCTTCCCATCATACCTCACTAGATCAGGCTTCTCCTCCCCTTTGTGGGACATCTTCATATAAATACACATTGCCAGGGGCACACGATGCCAAGGATGACTTTCCACTCCGCAAAACTGGTGAGCATATTAAAATGATTTTAAATGCCAATTTAATTCTGAACCAAATGAAACTTGATCTAATCATATTATGTAATACTTGATTTGAGTTTATCTAAAACATAATTATATATGCCAAATGGGAATGTTATTTTCCATTTTCACAACAGCTGCTGATTATGATTACACAGGTGGAGGATATGATGGTGGTGATGGTGATGGTGGTGGTGGTGGTGCTGGCAGTGGTAGTGGAGGACGAGGATGGTGATGATATTTTATCCTAACTTTTTAAATAGATAGTTTGGTCAGGTCAAGGCAGCAAAGAAGCCTAATACTCCATCTTCCTCCTATTTTTCCCACAAAAAATAACTGTGAGATAAGCTGATAAAGCATGAATGGGACAAAGTTATCCAGTTGGCTTTCATGCCTAAGATGTCTAGAATTCTTGTCCATTACTACCCATCTCTCTGCATGATTCTTTTGAAAATACTATAACCACTGATCGATTGAAAAATGTATTACAGTTGAAAAATCTTGGTGCTTAAGATTTAGAGGGGTTTTGCAATAGAGTATATGAATGAATCTGAATAATTAAATGCTTTATATTAAAAACCTACTAAATTTTAAATTAATCATGTAGAAAGCATGAAGCCCCTATATGGTGTAAAATGATGCAAGAAATGTTTTGAACAACACCTCTCTGCTATTAATTAAAGCTATGCTGGCTGGTGAATTCTGGGAGTTGAAGTCCACAAGTCTTAAAGCTGCCAAGTTTGAAGACCTCTGAATTAAGCAATGTTTCAGCAAAATACTTGAAAAAAGTATGTTTTGGTTTTCAGAAGTCAACTCATTAAAGCAATTTCTAAAGTATGAGGATCTTTTTTTCAAACTGATGTGTAAGCCTGAAAAAAGAAGTGGCTACTTTAATGAAAAGCAGAGAAGTGCCATTCGTATGTGCCAGGTCCAAAGAATTTAAAAATTATTTCTGAAAGAGGTATCATGTTCGTGGATATTTCAATTTTCTAAAAAATCTTTTTCTGGTAGATTTATAAATTGTACAGTTAATAAGTTTAATGTCCAAACTAAATAGCTGTTTTGAAATACTTTTTAAATTCTCCTTTTAACAATACTTTATATATACAAAAATATAAAGAATTAAAAGGACTTTCTGAAAGCTACTTTTTATTATCTTTTCCCTTGTTCTAATATGGTGATCCTTTAAAATGTTAGGGGGGTGTATGTGTGCGTAATTTGCTTTCCCATTTTAAAAAGTTCCTTTGAAAGGCATTATCAATATTTAAGAGGTATAACACTGTTGATTGGTAAAGTTAAACATTTTCAAACATTTTAACAGTATTGTTCTGTACTGCAGCTGTTAATACTCTTACATTTCCATGGGGGTTTCAAAATATTCTTTAATTCAATTCTCATTGTCTATATATGAGCTACAGCATAATTAAAAACAGATGTTTTCTATACATTATTCCAAATATTTGGGCACACTGCACGTCAGCTGCAGAGAGAATACACAACTATGAGATTCTTTTTAAAAACTCAGGGGTGAGAGAAAAGAAGAATGAACTCATTTCATTTTGGCTACTTCTGTAATCAATGCAGTTGTGTGCAGAATGTTAACATAGTAACTGTTTTTTAAAGAAAATAATGTTTTTTTCCATCACAAGTTTATCATTTGGTTGCCATTCTACATAGATTTTGTTTAAGTAATAGACACTAATACTAAATTGGAAGGCGACTAATTTCAACCCTCAGCAACATATTCATGTTCAGCTTCTAATAAGTACTTGACAATTTTAGAGGAAAAACAACCGGAACTGGGATGACACAAGTGAAATGACCCTAAACTGATCAGGATGGCCACAGGGCATCCCTTAGGCAAAGGGGACATTCTGGAGCCTACTGCATCCTCATGGGACCATTCCTGACGAAGTTGTCCCATGAAACATTCAGAGAGTAAGGAGGAAAGAGAGAAGCAGGTTCTTTTTTGCCAAATGTTTGACCTTTGTCACAAGAATGATTTTTTCCTCCTTATCCTTTTCTTTGACCTATGAATGGTGAGTGTCACTGGTTTCTGATTCAACCAATCAGTGTAGGCTTTTCATCTAATTTTGAAGAAGTTGCTTCATCAGCACTGGGCTTTGTTTTGTCTGAGAAAACAAGGAATCTCTGTTTTTACCTCTAACTATGCATTTCAAATTACATGATTACAAATTCAAAGCAGAATGTATGAGTTGAAATGTCTATTATTTAAAAAGTTTGGCTATTGATTCTCTTCTTTGCTTTGTACGGTTGGCAATTGTAACCAAGAAGGCAAAATTGATGGTTTGCAAATGTTGCCTACATTTGAACTGTTGGTACAGATAGAAAAAGAAATTCTATTATATAACTGAATTGAAAGATAGGAAATCAACTTGGGGAAATAAGTTATCTCCTGACTATTTCTAAATAAACCGAAGCTTAGTTGGAGTAAATAGATTCTGTGAATACAAGAAAATTCAGTAGGTATCAGGTGACTCCATCTTTGAAGTTAATGAGGGCAGACAGTAGTGAGATTGCAGAATAGATTAAGGTGTAGAGGAAGAGATGAATCACTAGACAAAACAGATTGATGAAATTCAAATTGTCCCCAAATATGACATCAGATTTTTTTAAAAATTCCTTGTTCAAAATTTCAATATTGCATCAAAGCCAGTCTTCAGCTGTAGAATACTATGTGAGTCTGCTACTTTATCATTTATAAAAGTTCACTTACTGAAGTTTTATAAATTGATTACTGATTATTAACTTAATTGATTATAACTTTTTATAAGAATCCTTTTTTATTTTATATTCAGTAATACAAATAAATTAGGGCAACTGTCTCCAATTTGGAACTCTCCAGCAATGCTGCCAGACAGTTTTATGAATTGTCTATGCACAACTGGAGTGATTCAGATAGATAACATAATGAAAGCCAAACTGCAATTTAAAATTGATATTAAAATGACAAGATATATTGAAAGTGATATTAAAAGACTTTTCTTTGTTCAAACACCTTGTGAAATATGCTGCTCAAAAAAATAAAGGGAACACAAGCAGAAGACATCCGAGATCTGAATGAATGAAATAGCCTTATTAAATACTTTGTTCTTTACATGCAGTAGTTTATATACACTGCTCAAACAACTAAAGGGAACACAAAACTACTGTATGTAACGAATAAAGTATTTAATAGGGCTATTTCATTCATTCAGATCTCGGATGTCTTCTGCTTGTGTTCTCTTTATTTTTTTGAGCATTGTATTTCAGAATTGGGAATCAAATGCATAAATTTCCATAGAGTCCTTCTGCATGAATGAAGCCAAAGTCTTTCTACAATTGCAACTACCTTAATTCAATGCTTGTACAATATTTAGGGGTTTTTTTCATATCAAGCAGGCCCCTCACTCACCTTATGAAAAAAATCCTCAAAATATTAGTCTCCACACAATTGTGAAGTTGCTGGATATTTAAACATTTTTTTTTCCTTTTCAGGAAGCTATAGTCCGATAGTTTGATAAATTAATGGGATAGATCCATAGTAACAGAAATGGGTAAGGAGGGAATCTTGTAGAGCCCCGCAAGAATAAAGCAGATCCTCTTTGCTACTGTAAGAAATTGTACATGGAATGGCATTTTTGGTCTACACAGTACAAACTCTCATCTTAGATGAAAGCTCTCCCTCTTAGTTATGGCTATATATCAAGACTTCTAAAGCAGACTGTGTCGGTTATTGATAAAGGATCTTTTCCAAGCTATGGAAAAGTTTATATTAAATATGTGCTCAGACTCAGTATCTTGAAGCTGTTTTTGAATAATGGCACTAGTTTTATAGTCTTTCTTGATTTTCTCATGGGAAAGTAATATAAATGAGAGTGATTTCTCCCAGTTGGCTTTCAGTGTTAGCAATGCAAATCATGCTGAAATTGTACATAATTCTCTTCCAAAGGAAAGGAAATAGCTTTTCAATAGTTTTCCTCAGTGTCCTATTGACTTATGGTGGTATACAATTAAATCTGTAAAATTAGTCTACCAGATGGAAGTTTATGCTGTGCATGAAGCTAATTAAGTCAGATTAAAAAATCCAAATCATAAAGTAATTTTATCTTAATTAAATTCTGTAGGGAGGCAAAAACAGATTAACATTGTCACTTTTGTCTTAATATTTATAGATGTCAATTTGTTGCAAGCAGTTCAAATTATCATACATGGTTCTTCCTGTATTATCCCCATAACAATCCTATAAGATAGGCTTGGTTGAATAATAATTATTTACTTAATGTCACCAGGATCCTTCATGGTTTATTTATTTATTTATTTATCAAATTTCTATACCGCCCTACTCCCGAAGGACTCAGGGCGGTGAACAGCCAAGATAAAATACAGATAATTCAAACATTAAAAGTCCCTTAAAATTATTAAATATTTTGGCTGAAACACAGATTAAAACACCCAATTTATAAAACAAATCAAACGATTTAAAAAATTTAAAAGGGAGAGTTAGGCCAGGCCAGCCTGCTGAAATAAAAAGTTTTGAGAGCACGACGAAACGTGCGCAGATCCGGGATCCTCCGTATCTCTGGGGGAACCTCGTTCCAGATGGTAGGTGTCCCCACAGAGAAGGCTCTCCCACTGGGGGCCACCAGTCAACACTGTTTGGCCGACGACACCCTGAGAAGCCCCTCTCTATGGGAGCGTACTGGTCGGTGAGAGGCTATTGGTAGCAGAAGGTGGTCTCGTCTGGTTGAAGAGAGATTTAAATCTTGATTTCCTAAAATAATTCTGCAAATAACACGTTATTTTGATAAGAAAGACAATTTATTTATTAATTAATTTGTAGATATTTCTCCCTAATCTTTTCTGTATACATAAACTGGGAGTAGAGATGCTCAAGAAGAGAAAATCACAATCAAAGCAAATTTTGATGGACAAGCATAATGCAATAGATTCCCAGGAAGGAAGGAAGGAAGGAAGGAAGGAAGAAGGGAGGGAGGGAGGGAAGGAAGGAAGGAAGGAAGGAGAGCCTTGGTACTACAGTGGTTTAAAGCACCCTGTTATTAACACAGCTGCCTGCAATTTCTGCTGGTTCGAATCTCTCCAAGGCTCAAGGTTGACTCAGCCTTCCATTCTTTCTAAGGTAGGTTAAATGAGGACCCAGTTTGTGAGGGCAATAAGCTGACTTTGTATAAAATATACAAAAGTATGAAGGCTATTGCTTAACGCACTGTAAGCCGCCCTGAGTCTCCGGAGAAGGGCGGCATATAAATCAAATTAAAAAAAAAAAAACAGAACAGAAAACACTGCCTGTTTTCTCTGGCAGAGTGCTCAGGCCACCACAAGTGTCCCTTGACATAAGTGATGTTGAGCTGGTCATGCCCATCCTGGCCACATCCATCCCAGCCCCCCAAGGTCAAACACAACCCTGATGCGGCCCTCAATGAAATGGAGTTTGACAGCCCTGCCTTAGAAGGATACTCCTCACAGTGAAAGGAACTTTCCATCAACAAAATAATACTCATGCATGCTCTCTTTTTTTTTCCCAAGCCAAAGGTCAGGCTTATCCTTTAAATAACAAGTTGGTGAATGAATTCCCCAAAATAAGCAGAGTTGGATCAAATCAGTGGGTTGGACTAAAACAATTTCATAATGCCACTCTTTTAGAATTGCTTTTCACTTGTAGAGGCAAGCAACTGAGTTTCAGTATGTCATAATGACAACGCAACCATCTGTAACACAGAGTTTAATGTTTCTACAACGCAGATAACAATTTGATGTTTTGATGAATTCATCACAGTTCATAGCAATTTTGTAAAAACAGGATTATTTCTTAAAGTTAAATTAATAAACTACTAAAATATCAATTATATAATAGGCAATATTAATGACTAAAATAATTAATAAAAGCAAAGGTTAAAAGATGTATTTTAAGGGCTGTTTTAAAAGCTGATAAATACACTGCGACTCTAAAATGGCTCAGGTCCGGGATACTTGGCGGACCATCTGCAGCCAGCAACAGCTTCCCATCACCTGGTGCGCTCTCACAGGGAGGGCCTACTTAGGATGCTGTCAGCCAGACAGTGTCGGCTGGCGATCCCCAGGGAGAGAGCTTTCTCTGTAGGCGCACCCACCCTTTGGAATCAACTCCCTCTGGAGCTCCGGGTGGCCCCCGACCTTCGCTCCTTCCGCCATGGGCTGAAAACGTGGCTATTTCATCTAACCGCCCTAGACTGATGGGGTTTTTAATAGAATTTAATGGGGTTTTATTGGATTTTTTGACAATTTTATCATGGACTTTGTTTTTAACGGTTTATTTGTTTTGTTTATTGTTGTGAGCCACCCTGAGTCCTGTGGAGATAGGGCGGCATATAAGTTCAATTAAATAAAATTAATTAATTAATTAATTAATTAATTAATTAATTAAATATCCAGGGATTGAGTTTCAAAGTCTAGAAAGCGCAGTGCTGCTAAATAATTATGAAACAACTTCATGGACATTTAAATGCTGTTAGGTATTGAAATTCATGCAGCAAGAGACATTCGCTAAAATAACCTGGATCTCTGCAGAGTAATAATAATGACCAGGACTTTGTTTTTTGCCTAGAAATGAAGTGGCTATCAATACACTGTTTTAAGCTGGAATGTAATATGTTCTTAAGACAAATCTGACTGCTAACTTTTAAACTAACTGGAGTTTCTTGTCTGCACGAAAAAGCAATACTATGTAAAGTACATTAAGTATATAATGAGTAGAAGCAAATGCATCACAATTTCAAGGTTATTATATTTATTTGTTTATCTATCTTGCCAAGATTCAAAACAATTTACTTATTATTTTTTTATTATTGCAACTGAAAGAAAAGTATTCATTACTATTACAAAAGATCTAGAACCAGAGATAATAAGCAAATTCAACCTCCCACCCTCATTGCCCCCCCCCCCCAGGAACGGTAAAAGAATATAGTATATGTTGCCTTTCTAAAAGGTAGGAGCATAAGGTGTCTCCAAACATTAGATGGCAAACTTTCCACAGGACTAGAACAGGGTTGGAAAATGCTTGCTTCTTCTCTTCCATATTTCTAGCTTCCTGAAGATGGGAATGTGGAGCAACTCCTGAGTAGGCCATACTAGATGGGAAAATTCTGTTCAGACCAGATGGTACTGGAGGAAATGTGAAAATGTTTTATATGTGAAAAATAGCACTCGAATTTGACCTGGAAAAAGTACTCAACACAATGCGAACAAGAGTAAGGTAAACCAACTAAATGGCTCTAATCCATTACCAGTTGGTTACTGTAATCTGTACTGAAGATGACTTTGAATTTTCCAAGTCATTTTCCAAGACAGTCCCAATTTTCCTTAAGAAACCCACATATTTTAGATTTTTATGTTCTGGAGTCAAACTATCTTTTTTAGGAAAGGTAGTGGTTTTACAACTACAGAGAGTTCTAGAGAGATGGGAATTATTTACTCCCATATTAGTTGAGATTCACAACTAGCTATGGTTGCTCTGCTGGATTATCTCTGGCAAGGCTGAAATGGAGAAGTGTGACTGTCCTGGTTTTGCTGAATTTTTGGCCATGGTAACTGGACCTCTTTCAGGGTTGGACATGTAGAACATTGTTTAACAGTAGTTATCATTCTTTCTGAGTAGTCAACAGCAAACAGTATGTATCTGAGAAAACAACATGTGTCTGGGAAGAGGTCACATGCTCAATTTTCTATTATAAGGATGACCTGCCATTCAACATTTACATGAAACTGTTGGATTAGGCTGTTCATTGATACAGAGTGAGATAATATCAGTATACTGAAGATAGCCAGCTCCACATCTACACTGAACACTAATAGGCTGGAATAGTTGTGAATCCAAAGGCCTTATCAATCTGAATATGTTCCATCTGTAGGTTATGTGGAGAGTCAAGGAGATCATCTTGAGGAAAAGGTAGTGTTTGGAAGAGATTCAGGTAGGATCCTCCTGATTCACTGAGATATAAACTGGTGTAGAATATGCAAGTAGTAAATGATGGCTGGATATATAGCAAATGTAACACCACTACTAAATGAGCTGCAAAGGCTACTAGTGTGTTTCTGAGTACAATTCAAGGTGCTGTTTATCATCTTTAAAGCCCTACATGGCTTGGAACTATGTTACCTGAGGAACCATCTTTTTCCAAGAGTTTCTATCCATCGAATTTGATCCAGAAGATTGGGCATGCTGCAGATCCTGTCATCCAGAGAGCTGACTGGCAGGAACCAGAAGATGGACCTTCTCTGCCATAGATCCTACTTTGTGGAATATCCTCCCATTGGAGATTAGAATGGTCCCAACCCTGTTGGCCTTTCATAAGACTTTAAAAATTTGTCTATGTATCTGCCTAGAATGTGTTAGGACTCCGTTTCTCGGCTATACTATTAATTGCTTAACTAATTTAGCTGTTATATGTATTTATTTTTGTAATACTTTTATTATTTTTAAAAATAAATATGTTAAATAATATATTTATTTATTTATTTAACTGTTTTATGATTTTAGAATCATAAGTCACCCACAGCAAGACTCAGACTGAGATGGGTGGCTATAGAAATTGAATAATGTAATAAATAACGTAAGAGAGAGAGGAGGTAAAGTACAAATACGTCTTGCAAGATTGATGTCAGCCTTTTGGGCTAAAGCATATCAGGAAATAGAGTTCTTATAAGATTAGAACTATACTTTTTTGAGATAGGCTATAGTAACTGAATTTTGCAACTCCGATTGCGTTTTACCTTCCTTCTGCTTACATCCCATTGCATACTTGTTTCTCAGAACTTAAGGAATGTTTTAGCTTCTTTTCTTATATAATAATTCTTACTTCCTTCAAGATCATCCTGATTCTCTACATGTTAAAGTTGTGCTTCTATATGGAGCTGATTCACAATCTTAAGTTTCTCTTGGACTCAAACTTCTGCTTGAACAGTAGGTGAAGGCCATGACAAGGACAGCCTTCACACAATTATAGCTAGGGTAGCACTTTTGTCCTTTCCTGAATTAGAATGCATTGCACATAATCATTATATTTATTTTTATTTCTTTGAATTATATAGCTGTCTTTCTCATATATGTGACTCTGAGCAGATTATAATAAAATAGATAAAAATAAACAAAACACATAATACAAAATGAAAACACATGAAAGCTGAACTTCATAAAATAACTATCAACGAAGTCAGGAAATGGACTTAACACTTTTGCAGCTCCAGACCTAGGCACAAATCCAAGTTTTTAGTGCCTTGTGAAAGGCAGCAGGGTCAGTGCTAGACTAATCTGGGAATGATGTTCCACATATGAGTGTCACTCTTATTTTTGTTACTTTAACATTGGAGGTTTGCAACTTCCTTGAAGACCATTGAAGGAGGTTTACCCTTCTACAGCATATAGCCATCTGGGTAGCTATTCATGCCTCTAAATTTACCCAATCTACTCCAAGAGCTGCATTATTTGCCAATTAGCTTTGGGGTGAATTCAGAGTATAGTTATCATTTTTAAAGCTGCCCATGGTTTAGGACCTCAATGTCTTTAAGAGTACCTTCTCTGACTGCCTTCACTAAATCTGCCAATTCAGTAAACAGGGAGAGAAGGCTTGTTGTAGACCCCATCTCTAAATGAATTCTACCCACAAAGACCTTTAATCAAACCTTCTCAGTGGTGATCTCCTTCTCTGAATCAGCTTGCCTTTGCAAAACCAAATCAACTCTTTCCACAAGACTATTAGAACATGGCTGTTTGATAGAACAATAGGGGATGTAAGACAGAATCTGTCCTTGATGAGGATATTGTTGGAATGGGTGGGTTAAGTTTGTGATTATAATGTTATGGTGTTTAAATTCTTTTGCTGACAATTATACAGTATATTTATTTATTTATTTATTTATTTATTTTATTTAAATTTGTATACTGCCCTTCTCCTAGTGGACTCAGGGCGGTGCACAGCCAAGTAAAAAACATCCAATACAAAATTTAAAAATTTAAAAGAATTATACCCTTTGGCCAAACATTAAGAACTTACAACTAAAACCCATTAAACAATTAAAAAATCTAGTATCTCAAAAATGGGCGGGGGGGGGTTCACCCCAGCCCTGCTTGATGGAAGAAAAAAGTTTTTAGGGCACGGCGAAAAGCCCGGAGATCTGATATCCTCCGTATCTCCGGGGGCAAATCGTTCCAGAGGGCAGGTGCTGCCACAGAGAAGGCCCTCCCCCTGGGGGTCGCCAGCCGACACTGCCTAGCTGACTGCACCCTGAGGAGTCCCTGTCTGTGGGAGTGTACTGGCTGGTGGGAGGCTATTGGTGGCAGAAGGCGGTCCCGCAAATACCCAGGTCCGATGCCATGGAGCGCTTTAAAGGTGGTAACCAGTACCTTGAAGCGTACCCGGAAGTCCACCGGGAGCCAATGCAGCTCGCGCAGGAGAGGTGTCACATGGGAGCGCCCTCTCGCTCCCATAATCCCCCGCGCAGCCGCATTCTGCACCAGCTGGAGCCTCCGGGTGCACCTCAAGGGGAGCCCCATGTAGAGAGCATTGCAGTAGTCCAGGCGGGAAATGACGAGTGCCTGAGTGACTGTGCGTAAGGAGTCCCGATCCAGAAAGGGACGCAACTGGCGAATCAGGCGAACCTGATGAAAAGCCCCCTGGTCACGGCCGTCATATGCTCTTCTAAAGACAGCCGTGCATCCAGGAGGACACCCAAGTTGCGAGCCCTCTTCGTAGGGGCCAATAACTCGCCCCCAATAGCCAGCGATGGCGCCAGCTGGCTATATCGGGACGCCGGAAGCCACAGCCACTCGGTCTTGGAAGGGTTGAGTCGAAGCCTGTTACTCCCCATCCAGATCCGCACGGCCTCCAAGCACCAGGACATCACTTCAAGGGCATCGTTGGGATGGCCTGGGGTGGAGATGTACAGCTGAGTATCGTCAGCGTACTGATGGAATTCCACCCCAAAGCCACAGATGATCTCGCCCAGCAGCTTCACATAAATGTTGAACAGAAGGGGTGAGAGGACCGATCCCTGCGGCACCCCACACACAAGGCGCCTCGGGGTCGACCTCTGCCCCCCTGCCAACACTGACTGGTCGGAGAGATAGGAGGAGAACCACCGTAGAACGGTGCCCCCCACTCCCAGCCCCTCCAACCAGCGCAGCATGATACCATGGTCGATGGTATCAAAAGCTGCTGAGAGATCTAATAGGACCAGGATAGAGGAGCAACCCCTATCCCGAGCCCTCCAGAGATCATCCAGCAACGCGACCAATGCCATTTCCGTGCTGTGCCCAGGCCTGAAGCCGGACTGGCGTGGATCCAGATAGACAGCTTCATCCAGGTACCCAGGCAGCTGTCGTGCCACCACACTCTCAACAACCTTCGCCACGAAGGGAAGGTTGGAGACCGGACGATAGTTAGCCAAAACTATATAGTTAAGAGCCTGTAGGAATGGAGTATCACTGATAGAAATAAATAAATAAATATATATATTTACTTTAAAAAACAACAACAAATAGATATATTAGGTTTATCCTGTTTTTTGTTTTTCAGTTGTGATAGTTGCCATGAACAAGATATATTCTTTAAGTATACTTTTTCACTTAAAAAATAATAAAACAATATCAGTGCATTTTACAGGGCATTTGGAAAATGAGTAAAGTAAAACAAATTGTTTTGAACAATATTTTATATCAGAGTTTGACTTTCCATATTTTAAATTCCATTTTCCTTCAGCCCTATCTACATGGCAAATGTGAAAGATGAAGGAAATTTCAAGTAATATTAAAAACACCATGTCAACCACGTTTGTTTTATATAAACAGGTATAATTCATAAATCAAACTCTTCTGTTTATGATTTAAAGAGATGATTAGGAGTCCAAGAAGCCAACATTTTTGCAAAAGAACAAGCTAATCATGACTTGTTTGCATTTTGCTGGTGGTTTTCTTTTAAAATTAGTATTTGTAGATTTATTGAGGATTCAGCAGAAGACAATAACAAACCAGAAATAAGATGAGTAAATACAAACTAAGTGAATTATCATTCATTGCATTAAGCCATATATGTAAACAGATAACTAAACCATGGTTTCAAATAGTGGTTCAGACATTTATATGTGAACCTACTATTATTTAATAATTTGTATAACTTTGTTCAATGACCATGTTGTTAAGTCGGAAGTTGTAGGCAAATTTTGCAAACCTGGAAAGGCAGCAGGTCCAAAAAAGGAAGCTTTGCAGGTTTGTAGTCTGTAATGATAGATTTTGTGATCTTATTCTCAGCTTCCGAACCCAATTTGAAAGTTCGCTCCAAGTTAAAACAAAAAGTAACAGAAAGAAGAAGCAGCCCTTTACTCAGAAGGAAGGATGGAACAATGGTCTGCTCATTGAAGAAAAGATTAATTGAGATGACAGGTAATGAACTAGAAATATCATATCTAATTATTATTATAGTTTATTACATAGTCAGCCAGATATCCAGACTGGATTTGGCATTTTTATCTACCTGTGGAGTCCTTCCCAAGGACTTGGGATAGGCAGATGTTGATGTTTGATGGGTTAAAATATCATCTCAGAATATGTTCCAAGTAAAGTTGCCTTTTGCAATTGATTATGGTGATTTTGTCAATCCAATGGTGTTTATGTAGTACTCCAGTTGTTTTGGGATTTCACCCAAAGGTAGTAATATTGATACTACCTTTCCTTTCTTTTGCCATAGTCATTCTATTTCTGTTTGCAGATCTTTGTATTTTATTACCTTCTCCAGTTCTTTCTCTTTTATTCTGCTTTCTCCAGGTATTACCACATTCACTATCCAGACTTTTTTGTCCTTCTTATTGACAGTTAAGTCTGGGGTGCTATGTGGCAGTTAATTAACTTTAATTAACACTAGTTCTTATTGTATTATTTCTCCCACTGGTTTCTTTTAATGAGGATCACTATTTGGAAGATAAATTTAAAATCAGAGTAAATTCTAAGAATTGTTCACTTTTGAAAAATGATTTAGAAAAAGTTATTCACAAGAAATGATTTATATCTTATGTAAAAATGAACCACAGTAACTCCAGTTATATAAATGTTAAAAATGGCCAAACTTTTCCAAGATTCCATGCAAGGTTTGAAAAAGATTGTGCTATTAAAGTCACTTAATAAGTTTATTCTTAAATAAACTTATTCTTTATTTTGTAGTTTGTGTAGAAACCTGGAAAAGATCATAAAAGTTCCTTTAATGAATAGCAGAGAGGTACCATGTTTGTGCTTGCATGAGATCTGAAACAATTCTCAATAATTTCAGTCACCACCTTAGTAAATAGCTAATTTAAAGGAACCAAATGATATTGTGTGCCTTTTTGTCATTAGCATCAAGATTATTTTTGAAGATAGTATTTATGAGCCATCTGTTTATTTACTTTTTATATAAAAAAGGGCATTTTATGTTTGCATGATCAATAGTATATATAAACATATCATTCTGCTTTGGCATACCTCTATGCCAAACCTCTATAACATGTGTGTGTGTGTGTGTGTGTGTGTGTGTGTGTGCATGTGTGTGTGTGTGTGTGTGTGTGTGTGTGTGTTTGTATGTATATGTATATGTATATACATTTATGTATGTATATTCATAAAATATATTTTCTTTGTCTACATCAAGAACTTTAATAGACACTTTAATCTATTCTTCAACAGTGGTGTATTGTTTTGCCTCACCATGTAATCTTAAAAAAGAGGAGCTTTCTATAGCAAAACAAAGTATGATAAAATCATTAAGATACTATATTAAAGTTTTGAAGATTCCTGTTTTTCCCTTAAAATTCACTGACTGAACTGCAAATGAGGTATTGTTTTTTAGTAGTTGCTCATATAAAGGCCAGTTCACAACTGAGTCCTCCAGGGGTTTATCCAAACAGCCTAGGAATGGCAGCAGGCCTCATGAATTGATGACATGTTATCTTGACCTTTGGGAGTCCAGTATCTCTATCATGCTGGTCTTTTACAGAGGCAGCAGAGAATGCAGCCAAAGGTACTTCCTTTTCCTTTACTCATTAGGAACTTTTTTTTAGTATTTTGCCTACCACTGAGAAACTTGCCCATCTTGGAAGGAGGAAAATATTGCTCAAGTAATAATAAATTGTGGGTTTTTGTGTATTGAAAACATTATGAAGTAAAAATTTTTTTTGACATGAATAAAAGAATACCGTACATTGTATAGGCAACTTATTTTCTGTTGTAGCTTAAACTTTCTGATGACCAATAATACTTATATTTATTTTACCAACATTCCAGAATCATCAGTTGGTAGCAGTTCTCCAGGATCAGGCCCAAGTTCTCCATGTAATGGTCCTACAAGAAATACAGAGAATGAAACATCAGTATTGCCTTTGAATTCCTCAGCCGAGGTAAGAAAATAATGGTTTTATGTATCTGGTATTTGGATGACAGCACTAACCTTAAGATACCAAAAACTACAAGTCCAAAATGCAATGCTTAAGTAATTATGGATACCAGGTGATTTATCATCTAACATGCATCTGTTCAGAACTACACAGATTATAATTTTGTTTCTGGATGCAATTCAGAGATGAATTCGGAGATGATTGTCACCTTTAAAGTTCTTTGTGGTTCTTCCAGTACACTCTGCCTATCCTTTTAAATCTAAAAATAAAATTCTCTCTGGGTTGCTACCTTTAGCCAGTGTCATCTTCAGAGATCTCCGTTTTGGATGTTTTCAGCTGGCTTGTCATCCATCTTTGGAACAGCATTCCTTCCAATTTCAGAGTGTCTGCACTGCAACTGTACAGGTGGTCCTTGACTTATGACCACAATTGAGCTAAAATTTTCTGTTGTTAAGTGAGACATTTGTTAAGTGAGTTTTGCCTGATTTTCTTGTCACAGTTGTTAAGTGAATCATCACAGTTAAATTAATAACAAAGTTATTAAACGAATCTGGCTTCCCCATTGACTTTGCTTCTCAGAAGGTCAAAAATTGATCATATGACCATAGGATATTGAAACTGTCAATAATATGAACTAGTTGCCAAGAATCTGAATTTTGATGGGAATGCTGCAACAGCCATGTGAAAATGGTCATAAGTCACTTTTTAGTGCTGTTGTAACTTTGAATGGTCACTAAATAAAGTTGTAAGTCAAGGAGTACCTGGATTTGTAATTACATAAATTTGTAATTTGCAAATAAGATTTAATTTTTTTTCAATGGATCAAAACTTTGAATCTGGAGGGTTGTTTATGTCTTTTCTGGGAAAGTGATTGTATATATAAGTTATTATTGTTTCTTGGGACTTGGGAAATTATTCAGTTCTTATGTTTTAATTTTTAATCTTATTATTGTTTTGGAGACTTAAGTATCACAAAGTCAAACATAATTGGAGGAACATGTAGGTACGTGTGGATGGATGGATAATGCCTTTTGCTGGATATCTGTGGACTTCTTGTCCAATATTTAGATGTAGGTGAATAGTCTATATTTAAATGTTAAGGAAACCACTAGCATGATTTTCCATAACATCTAGGGTGAAATAGTAGCAAATGCTTATTGGATATTCAAGCACAGGAGAACAACTGTAACTCACTAGGATTGCCATCTTCTGATTTTGATGCTACTAACTGCTCCAAAGCTGTCCTATAGATTAAAGGCAGATACATGTGTAAAAACTTGATTTCATTGATGGCCACATCAGGGGTATGGTTGACATCATTTCATTTCATTTCATTTCATTTATTAGATTTCTATACCGCCCTACTCCCGAAGGACTCAGGGCGGTGCACAGCCAAACAATAAAAACACATACAATACAAAATTTAAAAAATAGAATAAAATCAAATTAAATAATTTTGGCCCCGACAAATTTAAAACCCCAGACTTTTAAAACCAATTTAAAATTGAATATATAAATACTAAAAAATGTTTAAAATTTTAAAAATCTTTTATAAAAGAGGGGGAAAATTAGGCCAGGCCGGCCTGGTGAAATAATAAGGTCTTTAAGGCGCGGCGGAAGGTGCGCAGATCCGGGATCCTCCGTATCTCTGGGGGGGAGCTCGTTCCAGATAGTAGGTGCCCCCACAGAGAAGGCTCTCCCCCTGGGGGCCGCCAGTCGGCATTGTTTGGCTGACGGCACCCGGAGGAGCCCCTCTCTATGGGAGCGTACCGGCCGGTGGGAGACATCAGAGGGCCGGAGGGGGGGGAGGAGTCTGGCCAGGTGTGTGCAGTCATTGTGGCCGTGGCCAGGGTGGGCATGGCCATGGTGGGCATTTGACACAGGGTCATTCCCTTCTCTTCTTTCTTTCCACAGTTCTTTACTATAACCATTTTCCTATCTCTTCTACCAGATATTACTGGCAAACATTACTTATTCTTCATACTCCACTAAATTTTTTATTTCTAAATTTATACCCTATTGTTTAATAGTAAATTATTTTTCCAGGCAGAAAAGCTGTTTATACTATTGTATTTTTATTATTCAACTAATAATAAAAATACAATAACATAAATAACATGATAATACAAGATCTAACAGCAGAGGTAAAATTTCCAGGATAGTAGCTGTCAATTATAGATTGTTGATTGTAGATTAAATGGACCTACAGTATGTGGCAATTTGGCATTAAACTCTAGTATTAACATAGGATGTTGCTTGTTTTCTATGCAGATCAGGCACTGAAGCCACATAATTGTAATCCAGTCCTCCTGCAGCACTCTGCCGGCTGAAAACTGGCCGCATGGAGGCCCCATGCAGCCCTTTTTGGCTTCCCCGGCTTCCTGGGGCACTCTGCCGGTCAAAAACGGAGGCCCCACACAGCCCATTTGTGCCCAGCAGAGTGCTGCTGGAGGCCAGGGAGGCCAAAAATGGGCTACATCGGGGCCGCCTGCACCCTCTGCAGCCCGTTTTGGCCAGTAGAGGTACTGGAGGCCGGTCCTTTGATATTTCCAAGCTGGCCCCACGGACCAGATTTAAGGGCCCTTGAGTTTGACACCCCTGATCTAAAATATTGGGATACCAAAGCAGTCTGTCTTTAATAATTAAGGCCATACCTGGAATACTGCATCCAGTTTTGGTCACCACATTACAAAAAAGATGTTGAGACTTTGGGAGAAATGCAAAGAAGAGCAACTAAGATGATTAAAGGCCTTGAGACTAAAACATATGAAGAAACATTGCAGGATTTGGATTTGGCTAGTCTAATGAAAAGAAAGACTAGTGAGGACATGATAGCAGTATTTCAGTATTTGGGAGGCTGCCACAAAGAGGAGGGGACCAATTTATTTTCCAAAGCACCAGAGGACAGGACAAGAAACAATGGAGAGAAACTAATCCAGGAGAGCAGCAATCTGGAATTAAGGACAAACTTCCTAATAGTGAGGACAATTAACTAGTGGAACAGCTTGCTTCAGAAGTTGTGGGTGCTTAATCACTGAAATGGTATAGGATTTCCTGCTTGAGCAGGGGATTGGACTAGAAAACCTCTAAGGTCCCTTCCATCTCTATTCTGATTCTGATTAAAATAAACATCTTTTAGTCTCAGCTATACTGTGTTTCTTTTAACTAAACATTGATGCAATAGGAGGAAAATAAAATTGAAAATTTGCCAGAAATTTAAAACCCAAAGTTATAATTATTTTATTACGTATACAAGCAGATAGGTCAGTTTTAAACAATTTTATTGGTATTCTAGTTGAGTAATTTACGGTATATGTAATGAAACATTTCTGATAGAAAGATAAACTACAATTGACCAGAAACTTATTAAATAATATATGTTCCTTGATTATCCTGATAGGAGGGAAACGGCAGTCAGGCTGAGTAGATGGTCCGTCTAATGCATATGACCGAGTCTGCCAATCAAACTGGCTCCAACTGGCTGCGTTTCAAAGGCCTTTGCCTAGCAGCCAGCCTTGGCTCGAGCAGATCCTCGCTGAGAGCACTAGTCGCGCTAATAGCCAGACGGCTAGTGACTTTGCGGACCTGCGCCCTTCATTACCAGGCTGAATCGGGTCCGGTGCCGTTCCTCTGCAGCCGGCGGTGAGTTTTCTTCAGATTTTTTTGCCGCGCGAGCTCGTCAGGCCATTTTCAAAATGGCGGCCGCCATGCGGTCCGTTCCTACGGCACCCCAGAACGCTTCAGGGAGACGCAGGCACCTCAGCGATCCCCTTGAGGGTACCTCAGACTTACCTCCCCCACCTAAAAAAGCACGGGGAAAGAAGCCTGCCTCAGCATCCTCCCTCTCCTCTTCCTCCAAAGAGGATCAAAGGAGACATAAGGCAATTGAGAAAGCCTTTCTCAAGGCTCAAGCACAGGCGGTTCCCAGTGATCCTGGCCTTAGATCCAGACCTTCTACCGCCAATCTTGACATTGCCTCTACCAGGTCAGCTAGGGATCTATCCCTTGACATTGCAGCAGTGGTTTCCTCTGTGCCACTTTCAGATAGCCACCAAGTTTTCCAGACTCTGCCTGATCCGGCTCCCCCCTCACAGCAAGGTCCGATGACAGCTCTTGCCTCACTTCCATCAGCAGCTCCGGTCCCTCCGCCTCCTGCCATGGCGGATTCGTTGGAGGCCATCATAGCCAGGGCAATCAGGCAGAGCCTGGCTCAGTGCCTTCCTCCGGCCACTGTACCCACTTCCCCTGGCACTCACCAACAAGTCCAGCCCAGGGATCTGGAGGATTCACTTTCAGAACAGTATCAGGCAGACTACCAATTCTCAGCTGACCTAGCGTCTGGCTCTGAGGCCGATGACTTACACGATCAGGCCTGGTCTGATGATGAGGGCTTGGGCCCAGACCAGCCTTCGCTCATAGGCCTTTTCAGGCCTCAAGTTTTCCATTCACTTCTGTTCAAAGCTATAGCCACTACCCCCTTCGGAGAACCTCCGTCAGTTGCTTCTGCCTCCTCGTTGAGCGACCCAGCAACGGCCATGTTCGCGGAACCTACCATTGACCCTGAGACCATTCCGGCCCCAAAGCTGTTTACTGACGTATTTCAGCGTCAATGGTCCCTTCCTGGGGCGGGACCCAGCCCCAACGGATTGGACAAGCACCTTTACAATTCGGCGCCTCCTCTGTCAGATCTTCTCCACCCTCCTACTGTGGATCCTCCCAGCTCTTACCAACACTACACATGCTACAGGTCCGGCCAAGGATTCTCTTCGTCCGGAGGACAAACGAGCCAAAAAGATACTTCCCAAAGGCTACCTGGCTACTGCCTGGTCCATCAAGGCATCCACCTCGGCATCGTTTTTCAACAGAGCTGCCTTGCTATGGCTGAAACAACTCCGAGTCATCTTCCTCTGTCCGACACCAGATCTCACCAAGACCTGAATAAAATTTCAGCTGCCCTGAAATACTTGGCCGATGCAACGCTCAATGCCACTCGTTTTTTGGCA